CTGTGCTGTTGGCCCTGGTAGTTGGGGTCCTCGTTGTGGCCGTGGCCGTGGTATATCATGTCAGAGACCTGGATGACGACGTACTTGCACTTGCTCTCCTTGGGTGCACTGTTTACCTGGAGCCTGACCACTTCAGCCCAGTCCTTCTCGGTGACTTAGCGGCCTCGCCTGACTGCGTAGCCGAGCCGAGCACTGGACTTGTCCACAGTCGCCCGAGGAGGAGGAAGAGGGCGATGCGCAGGAGCAGGAGCGAGCATGCGCGAGCAGGATGGGCGAGCGAGGCGGAGGTCGGCGGAGGGCGGCGCAGGCGGCATCGGGGCGGGCGGCAGGCGCGGGGGCACACCGCATCGATGCGAGGGCGCAGAGGCGAGAGCACGCCCCCGACCTGCGGAGGGGCCGGCGGCCTCGGCCAGCTGCAGAGGCGGCCTTCCCCGCCCCCCGCGGGCGCCGCCGCGGCCGCCGCCGCCGAGGGCCGCGGTATCGCCGGGCCCTCCGTCGGCGCGGGCAGCACCGCCAGTTCGCCAGCGGCCGCCCGCGGCGCAGGCGGCTCTGCATCGGCGCCCGCCGGCGGCTTGCCAGCGGCCGGCGCAAATGGGGCTGGCTGCGGGTCGCCGGGCTGCCGCGGCGGCGGCGGGTCACTCGGCGACGCGGTCGGCGGCGGGTCGCCCAGCGGCCGCAGAGGCGGCGGCGGGTCGGCCGCCGACGTGGTCGGCGCAGGGTCGCCTGGCGGCGGGAATGGCGCCGGGTCGCCCAGCGGCGGCAACGGCGGCGGCGCTGCAGGCTGGCGTGCGCTCGAGGATCGGGGGGTTCAGAGGTGGGGCCTTAGAAGGGATGGGGCCCTACAGGGACGAGTGGCCTCTGGAGTCTCCGCTTGAGTTCCCTTTCGTGTTCTAACGTGGGGGGAAGGTAAGTGTCAAGTTCGCCGGAACTCGGGTTTGCAGACCCTTTTCGACGGGCCCGTCCTGGATTTCGACGAACCAGGAGGCGAAGGATGTTTGCAGCAGGAGTTCGCGTCAAACTTCAGGTTGGGTCTTGTCCTTTTCCTGACTGCCCCGTCAGACCAACCCGAGTCTCCCGAACCCGAGTCTTACGTCTCCCCGATCTCGGCCCCCTTCCCTCAGGGCCCCATTGAACCGCCGAGAGGAGGACACGCGGCGGGGGCGGGCGGCGCTGCGGAGGAGCGCGTCCTCGGACGGGGTGCATTTTCGCGGCAGCCCGGTCGTCCCCGCAAGCAGGCCCGCCAGGCCTTCATCTCGGGGACGTCCAAAGGGGGGGGTCAGGACATCAGGGGTGTGTGTGTGTGTGGATCGGGGGCTGATGGAGAACCCCCAGCATTCCACGTCGAGTAGCGAAGTGCCCTTTGTCGGTTCTCGAGAGGGTGAAGCGCCGGTGCTTTCTGCCAGCATGCGCCCGCTTGGTCTGGTCCCGGTTTGGTTTCCCGAGAGGGTGCTTTACTCGAGCGGCTTCCTGTCCACCCGCGAGTGCATATCACGGCCAGGGCCATGGACCCTCCCAGATTGAGAAGGCCTTATGGCCGGTGCCGCCGGAGGAAGGCCTGAGGAGGAGGAGATCGAGGAGGACAACAAGGAGGATGAGGAGCAGGATGAGGCGGAGATCTTTTGTGAGCCTTTTTCAGAGCTGAGAGGCTGAGAGCCTCCTCAGGCTTCATGGCGGCCTCTTGCTGCCTTCCGGGACCGTCTTGGAGCTATCGCTGGTCCATCTTTAGTTGGACCCTTCTTGGGGTCTCTTGGGAGCCTCTTGGAGCCTCTTGGGAGCCTTCTGGAGGTGGCCCATCCCGCCACAGAGCCTGGGGAGTGGGTCAGAGTCTTCACTGATTCTTGTTGGAGCGTGTTTTCAAATCCTCTGGGCCATACCGCGCGTTGTGCCCCCCTTCCCCCCATAACATAACACCCCTCCACGCAGCACGCCTTCGGCACTGCCATTGTGATGCTTGCAGTCTGCCTTGACGTTCGTCGCGGTGCTTGCAGGCTGCTTTAACGTTCGTGGTGGTGTCCGAGGGCCTCGCAGGGCCTGCCGACACTACCAGAGGCCTCCAGAGATCTTCTGAGGCCTCGGGAGAGCTTTGTAGATCTTCAGAGGCGGCCGTCGTCGCCGGCGTCGGCGTCGGCGTCGGCATCGGCGTCGGCGTCGGCGTCGGCGTCTATGTCAATGTCAATGTCAATGACAATGTCAATGTCAATGTCAATGACAATGTCAATGTCAATGTCAATAATATTGTCGTCGTCGGCTTCGGCGTCGTCGGCTTCGGTTTCGGCGTCGTCGGCATCAGCATCGGAGTCTGCATCGGCATCGGAGTCGGCGTCGGCGTCGGCCTGGTCGTGGTAGTCGTCTTAGTCGTCGTCGTTCTCGTCCCCGTCCCCATCCTCGTCCTCGTCCCTGTCGTGGTCGTCCTCCTTGTTCTCGTCGCGGTTTTCGTCGTCGTCGTTGTCGTCGTCGTCGCCGAGGACCCCAAATGGCCTCCAGACGCCTCCAGATGTCTCTGGATACCTCCTTGGGCCTCCGGAGGCCTCCGGGGTCCTTCAGAGGCGACCGTCATCGTCGTCCTCGTTCTCGTCCATGTCGTCGTCCCCGTCGTTGTCGTTTTCGCCGTCGTCGTCGTCGTCGTCGTCGTCGTCGTCCTAGTCGTCCTAGTCGTCTTCGTCCTCCTCCTCCTCCTCGTCATCCACGTCCTCGTCCTCGTCCTCGTCATCGAGGGCCTCGCAGGGCCTCCAGACGCCTCCAGAGGTCTCCAGAGACCCCCGCCGGCCTCTGGAGACCTCCTTCGGAGGCGGCAGTCGTCCGCCTCGTCCTCGACCTCTTCCTCGTCCTCGTTCTGGTTCTCGTCTTTCTTGTCCTTATCGTCGTCGTCCTCGTCCTCGTCGTCGTCGTCGCCGAGGGCCTAGAAGGGCCTCCAAACGCCTGCAGAAGTCTCTGGAGTCCTCCTTAGGCCTCCCCGGAGACCTTCAGAGGCTGCCGTCGTTGGGCGCCGCGTAAGGGGGGGCGATAAGTGGGGGCGGGGGGCAGCGATGGCTGTAGTCCAGGGCTCATTTTTGGGCCCGGAAGTGGGTCTTCAGGGCCCGGAAAGTGCACCTCTCTACCCCCCTCATTGATCGCACCCCAATAGGCGACGCCCAACGTCGTCGTTGCTGTCGTACTCGTACTCGTTCTCGTCGTTGTGCTTATCCTCGTCGTCCTCACGCTTGGCGCCGCGCCTGATGAAACTCGTCGTCCTCGTCTTCCTCGTCCACGTCGTCGTCCACGTTGTCGTCGTCATCGTCGTCGTCGTAGTCGTCCTGGTCGTCCCCGTCCCCGTCCTCGTCCTCGTCCTCGTCCTCGTCGTCGTCGTCTTCGTCGTCGTCGTCCGGCGCTCGGGCGCCCTCGTCGTCCGGCACACACCAGCACAGATAAATGTCAAAGCTCGCAGTAATGACGCACGGACGTCCTTGCCTCTGCGGCCCGTCTTTCGCGGTTTTCACTGGCCAGCCCTTCAGGGTGCTGGCAGTCCGCCGCCCAACAAGTGCCATCTTTGGCGTCTTAGGCCCTTGCGTCCTTACCGCCCGTCCTTCCTACAGATTTCGATTGTAATGCTGGAAAGAGGATGTGGGGAAAAACACTGGTGCAGTGCACGATGGTGTACGTAGGTATTGCTGGTGCACGATGGTGCACGTAGGCATTGCGCAGTACATAATTAGGCGACGAGGTGCACGCGGCTGCGGCGGTGCATACTGTGCCGCGCACGGATGTGCCTGCGGTGATGCGCACAGGTGCTGTTGTGCCGGAACCTCACTGCGGGGGGGGAGGTCGTTACATTATGACCCCGCCCCCCGCCCCCCGCCCCCCCCCCCCCCCGCGTAAAAACATGTGCGCTCTTGGGGTGTTTTCGGAGGGCTCTCGGGGGCCTCTGGAAGCAGTTGAGAGACAGCTTGTGACCCTCTTGGGAGCGTTTGTGTGTCTTCCTGGACGCTTCTTGGGGGCTTCTTGGGGCCTCTTGAGAGCCGTTTGGGGGTCTCGTTGGGCCTCCCGCGAGCGTCTTGGGGCGTCGAGCTCGACATGTAGAGTTCCCCCTCTGAGGCCCCTCTTTGGACGTTCTGGGGGCCCTCTTCGACCGCCTTGGAGGCCTGTTGGGCCGTCCTGCGGGCCTGCGCCTTTGTGACGCCCTCGTAGACCTGTTTGGGACGGTTTTGGAGCCTTTTGGTTTGTTCTGGAGCGTCGAGACGCCGAAAACGCAGAAACGCTAATATCATTGCAACAACGCAGAGGCATCGTATTCATTTTGCTGCATCTTTGGGCTCTCTTGGTAGTGCTCATGGGGAGTTCGTTTGGCGTCTCGCACGCGTCTTGGCCTGTGTGGAGGCCACCTTGGACGTACTGGAGCGATCGTTTGGGAATTGGGTCCTGTTGGCCTGTTGGAATATCTGACGCTTGCATTGCCGAAGGATGGCTGCATTCGCTAGAAGGCTACCCAGCAAGGGAAGGCGGAGGGGCAATATTCTGACCTGGGACCTCACCCCGGGACCCCTCCCGGGACCCCCCTTATGACCTTTGCTGTTTGGCTCGGTTCACCTCGAGGTGACGAGTTCGGCGCGCTACACAGGGTCTCGAGACAGTCTCGAAATGGACGACGTGGGGGCGACAAAGTCCTCTCAAACACGTCGACACAGGGTCGGCGGATTTTGTGGCCCCCTATTTTCAAGACGTCCCCTGCTTCATGGCGTCATGGGCGTCTGTCTTACGGGTCATAGCCTGGGTCTCAGGTGGCCGTTCGATTCGGGCACCCCCAGAGCGCCCTCGACGAGGCGCTGCTGCTGGAGTCCATCCCGAGGCGAGAAAACCTCCAAGGAACAATACCAACGTCCGAACATTTCCGCGCACATGCCTCGGGCCATGGTACGTTAACCCGTCCCTCCTCCTGGCCCACTTCTTCGGCGCACCCGATCCTCCGCGGGCTCCGCCGACGCGTCCGCGCGGCGGGCGCTGCATTTAGCTGCGGCGCGGTCGGCGAGTAGCGTCGAGCTGCTGCGGGACGAGAACTACTTCCTGACAGAGAGGCTCGTGGAGGCGTCGGTGCAGCACGCTCAGAGCTTCGAGTCTTTCTCCAACGACAGGAACACCATTCGAGGGAGGCAGAACTGCATGCGCATGTGCTGTCGGAGCTCGGGGCTGATTTCTTCGGTCGGCGCTGGGATCCCTGGCGGCGCCTCTGGCGCCGCCCCGCACGCCAGGAAGGGGTGGGGGCCGCGCCGGCCCAAGGATGCCGCGCGACCTTCGCAAGTGCATGCCTATGCGGCGATTTCCCCAAGCAGTGCTTGCACTCCGTGGCTCCTACTCTGCTTTCTCGAGGACTTCGCGGCGCTGGAGCGGTACGCCAGGCTCTCGGCGGGTGCCCGGCCGGTGGGCGCCCGTGGGCGCCCGGTGGGCGCCCTGCGCGGGGGGGGTACACCGAGAGTTCGCCCGGTGGCCGCCAGTGGGCGCCTCGTGGGCGCCCCGTACGTACCCTGGGTGGGCAACAGACAGTGGGGGCGCGCATCGAGAAGCCGTCTGCTCTTCGTCAGGGTATCCCTGGGTTTCTTCGCTCCGCGCGCCGCGCGGTGCTCCGGGCTTCGGCTGCGTTCCGGGTGCTCCGGGCTTCTCCTCAGGTGCACCTTGCGCGCGGGTTTTCGGGGTTGGGTTTCTTGCGAGGGTTTCTTGCGGCCGCGCCCGTGCTGTAGCTTGCACAAGACATCCCACACCGCATGGATTCGACAACAAAGCTTACTCTCCATAGCTCACGCCACGTAGCTTTCACAATATAGTTAGCATCATATATCTTACTCCGTATAATGTTTACCTCCACAATGCAACAAATTATTGTTTGGGGTCCCGAATTGCTACCATGTGCTTCCTTCTGAGGAACACCATGTGGCCCCTCGTCCAGGACCTGCGGCGGCAGGTACAGGAGGAGCAAGCGCAAGCGTCGCAGTGCAGGGCCCTCCTGAGATCCTCGCAGCAGGATCAGGGGCAACGCTATAGGGGGATGGGCTCAGGCGTGATGCATCGCCCCCGAAAGGCCCATTGATCGCCACCCAGGGCCTGATAACGCCCTTCGCCCAGGAACGTGGGGATCCGCTATCTGGCGCCCATCGCCGATTCGAGCTCGATGTTTCCCCTCACTGTCCCCCCCAAGTACGTTCCTCCCAACAGGAGCTGGAGGCCCTGGCGGAAGAGAACCTGAGGCTGGCCGAGCGCCTGTCGCACCGCGGCCGAGCTGCTGGGCCCGCCGCTGCGCCGAGCTTTGCGGCGCCGGACGCCGCGGACCCACGCGCGGACGCGCGCCAGCAGAGGGAGCTCACGGAGCTACAGCAGGAGTTCGAGGCCAAGGACCTCAGATCAGACAGAGGCGCAGTCGAGGATGATTAGTAGGTCGACCCTGCCAAATCAAGGGTATCCTCGTGTCCTGTGTTTCGCGGCCCATGCGTTCTGCATTCCTGTGGCAACGTGGCCCTCGGAAGGGTCTTGCGTCCTCTCGCGTGTCCTCTCCAATCGATCCCGACTGTATACTGCTGCCCTTCCCCTCGTTTTCGTTTCTGTTGGGCCTCCTGGGAGGCCCTCGTCGCCACGGCTGGATTCGCCTCGAAATGCCGGTCAGAATGCAGCCCAGTTGAGGTCCGGGGGCTGGCGGTGTCAGTGCCTTGTTGTGCTCTCCCCAAGGACCTCGAGTGCCGGCAGCTGCGAGGCTTCGCGGCGCGGCAGGCGGAGCAGGCGGAGGCGACGATACGGGACTTGGCCACGTACGGGGCGGAGCTCCAGGCCAGGCTGGCGGAGGCAGCCCGCCTTCTGGAGCTACACGGCCTCCTCCCGCGCAGCGGAGGCCTGGCGGTGCGCGCAACGTTTCCCTCCTTTGGGGCCTTATTGCCTTCTGAGAAGCCTTGCGGACAAGACGCCTCCAATTCCCGCGAGAGGGCCCTCATCACCCCACCTTGTTGATGGGGAACACACCACATCCATTCCAACGGCCTCGCGGTTAGGACTCCCCTTCTGCGACCTCCTGGATACGGGGCGGCATTGTGCGGATGCCCCGCGCGGAGCGCACTCACAGGATCCCGTATCTGAGGGATTGCGTCTGGGTGCCCACGCCGCGAGGGCATGGATGTGGACGCAGCCCACCAGGGTCATGAGGAGGAGTGGATCTCCAAGGGTGCCCCTGCATCGGTGCCTCTCGGCCAGTCTTGGCCCGCGGCCGTGATGGGCTATGGCGTGCCAACTTCGGCTCACCATCTGGGCTTCCAGGGGGCGTGCACCCTTACCGCGCAGGAGCTTCTGGTTGGGCGCTCACGGGCTTTCATGTGGGCGTCCAAGGGTATTGCATCCTCGCCGCGCATCCGTACGTTATGGTGCACTTCCTGGGAGAGTAAGTTCAGCATCGGCGCTGGCACATCCGTGGTCGAAAGCTGGCCTACTCCGTCATGGCACAATCCCTTTCGTTCCGCCTATTCTCGCGTTCTCCTGTTCAATCTGGGGCTTGATCTAGCCTGATTCGGCATCACGACCACCTAATCATTGATAGCCATTCGCAGCTGTTGCGAAGACCTTCCAGAATATGCCTCCTAATGGATGAAATCGTCGCGCTGGGAGTCTCGACCTATTCCCTTGCAATGCTGTTTCTGTCTCCGTCGTTTTTTGAAAGATCCGCGGATCGGGAAGGCTCGTCAGGAGACCGAAAGGTAAAAGTTATCCGTTGTGGTTTTTCCCGACACGATAGTAGGCTCGTGCTTGTTGCCACCACCCCTCGTGCGCGCCGCTGAGTGCAGTAGGAGGAAGTGGACGGTGGAGGAGGAGCGGGAGCAGGAGGAGGAGGAGAAGGAGGAGGAGGAGGAGGAGGAGGATCCAGGATCGAGGAGGATAAGCCGTATCGAGGGTCGTGGGTCGATGATCGAGGAGGAGGAGGAGGAGGAGGAGGAGGTGGAGTAGGTGGGGGATCGAGGAGGAGGGTCGAGGATGGGGAGGAAGGTGATCGTGCCCCCTCCCTGCCCCCCTTCCCCCCTGGTGCCTGCCGCCGAGCAGGCAGCCCCGCAGAGGCCGCCGCCGCCGCGGAGGCCGCCCGCGCCGCGGCGCCGCGCCTCGCGCAGGCGCTCTTCGAGGCGCCCCCCCCGGCGGCGCCCCGGCAGCAGGCGCCGCCCCCGCGGCAGGCGCGGGCCGCGAAAGGGGGAGGGGGAGGAGGAGGAGGAGGAGGATGAGGAGGAGGAGGAGAAGGCCTCCTCAGAAAGCGCCTGGGCTTCTCAGGACGCCAGAGGGCCTCAGAGCCTCCCGAGCAGGCCGCCCCCCCTCTCGCTTCCCCTAGGGCGCGACGCCGAAAGGAGCCCAGGGACACGCACATAAATACATACAGATGATCGGGGCGCTGCCACCCCCCGACAGCTCGGAATCGAGCAGGAGATCGACTGCAGAACCGGTTCGCCCCAGACGTGCGTGCTTTGTCTCGCCGAGAAGGTTCGTAGATCGATGGGAATCCTGCGTATTCCCTTCTGTAGCTTCGACGGGCATTTCAATGTTTGGGTAACTGAATTATGTAGTCGACCGCCTACTCGACAGGTGGTAAAAGTGGGTACGATGCGCAACAATAAGTGTTGTCCAAATACGACAGCGACCGCTGTTGGACAGGCGGCCTCCTGTCTCAAATGGGCGACGTCCGCATCGACACCGACAGCGAGTCTGGTTCAAAATGAACACTAACTGCTGTCCGTCGTTGTGCCCATTCCTTCCGTACCCATGTCGATCGTCCCGATCAGTTTCGTCCAAGAGACAGGGCGCCATGCGATTGCTCCCCATGTCGGCACTGGTCTCGTGTGTGGCCAGGATGACCTTAGATTCTGCAATGATCTGGGCTATGATCCTCTCACGGCACTTGACGAATCAGTGAATTTGTTCGTTGACCTGGTCCTGGAAAGGCTGTTGGCCAAGCGCATCCTGATACTTCTTCACCTGGGTGACGCTGTAGTCCGGGCTGGATGGGGACACGTGGTCTACAAGGGAGTGGCGTAGGCGTTGGGTGGGGAACTCCTTGCTATCCATGGGTTCCTTTGCCATGTGGGATGCCAGGTTGTCCATGCTCCCGTTGGTGCCTCTCAAGTCGCCGATTCTTCAGGTCGGTGGTGTGCAGGGTATCCAGAGGTCGATCCGCGCTGCGGCGAGCTGTGTTTTGCCTGTTCCCGGGGGGGCGTGGTACAGGAACACCAACTGGCGCCGCATCATGAGGTCTTGCCGCTCGTTGAGGCGCCAGATGGTGCATGCCGTGTCAGCTGCCTTTGGTTGGTGCGTGGGGTGGTTTCGCTAGAAGACTCGTCCAGGTCGGGGAAGCCTGGGTCTCAGCTTCGTGAGCTCGCCGTCGCATATGCCTCGGTCGCGCATGGCTTGCTCAGTGGCGCTGGTCTATGCGCGAAGGCGTGAGGCCGAGGTGGTCTGATTGGGAAAGGGCGCCAGTGGATACCCTTGCAATTTTGGGCATAGCCCGAACTTGTTTCTCGCGAGGTAAACTGATTGAACTGATCTGAACTCGAAGGAACTGAAATACATTGAAATGAACTGTACTGAACTGGGCTGAACAGACAGGTCGCACCCGTTACGCGACGGTTTTATTCTCTGTCGCCGAGGGTGCAACCTATGGCGCAACCGATAGGAGACGTTTTTATTCGGCCGCCGAGGGCGCAACCTTATGGCGCAACCGATAGGAGCCGATTTTTAGTCTCGCCCGCCGAGGGCGCAACCTATGACGCCACATATAGGAAACGATTTTATCTTCGCCCGCCGAGGGCGCAACTTTATGGCGCAACCGATAGAAGACGGTCTTATTCTCCGCCGCCGAGGGCGCAACCTTATGGCGCAACCGATTGGAGACGGTTTTATTGTAGTGGCTTCCGGCCAGTGCCGCCGATCCGGGGCATTTCGGGGGATGATGAGATGATGTTGTTGATGATGATGTTCATGATGATGTTGATGATGATGATGACGATTATGAAAAATGGTGATGGTGAATGATGTTGATGATGATGAAGATTGTGATGATGATGATGATGATGATGGTGGTGAAGGGCAAAATGATGATGCTGATGATGATGATGATGCTGATGATGATGATCATGATGATGATCATGATGCTGATGATGATGATGATGATGATGATGATGATGATGATTAGTATGTTTGATGATGGTGATGATGACGATGGTGACGTTATTGATGGTTACCATGGTGATGCCGATAGCGTGATGGCGCGATATTCCGTTGACAACCATTGGGGAAACAGTGATTATGGCATTTTCCGGGCGCAGGTGTTGTCGCCGCTGCTGTTGGTGCTGTTGCTGGTGCTATTGCTGGCTGTTTCCTCTGACGGTAGTGGTGTTGCCGGTGGTCCGTTTGCTGGTGGTGACGCGAGTGCTGCTACCACGTGACGTGGTACTGGTGCTGCTGCAGCAGCCTCGGGTGCTGGTGGTGCGGCTGGTGTCGCTGCTGCTGGGGCTGGTGGTGTCCTTTGGGGCTGGTGGTGTTGCTGGTGTTGTTGCTTGTGCTGTCGCTTTTGCTAGTGCTGTTGTTGCTGCTGCTGATGGTGCTGCTGCTGCTGCTCGTGGTGCTTTTACTGCTGCTGGTGAGGTCGTTGCTGGTGTTGTTTCTAGTGCTGTTTCTGTCGCTGCTGCTGGTGCTGCTTGTGCACCTGCTGTTGGTGCTCGTGCTGCTTCTGGTGCTGTTTCTGGCGCTGCCGCTGCTGTTGGTGCTGGAGGTACTGGTGGGGGTGCTGCTGCCGGGGGGTCTGTCGAAGGGGGGGGAATTGTGGGAGAGAGGGCGGGGTCTGTCTTCCAGGACAGGAGAGAGGCTCTGTCGGAAAGAAGGAAGGCGATTTCTCGGAGAGGTGAGGTATGTCCTGGAGGGGGGTGGGTCTGTCCGAGTGCGGGGGGTGTCTGTAAGAGCGGGGGGGGGTCTGCAGGAGGGAAAGCGAAAGAGCTGTCGATGGAGGGGGGTCTGTTGTTGGGGGAGGGGGTTTTGTCGAAGGGGCGGGGAAAGTGTGGGAGAGAGGGCGGCGTCTGTCCAGGACAGGAGAGAGGCTCTGTCGGAAAAAAGATAGGAGATTTCTCGGAGAAGTGAGGTCTGTCCTGGAGGGGGGGGGGGTCTGTCGGAGCGGGGGGGTGTCTGTGAGAGCGGGGGGGGGTCTGTAGTAGAGAAAGCGGAAGAGCGGAAAGAGATATGTCGGAAGGGGGGGGGTGTCCTGGAGGGGGGGGTCTGTTGGAGAGACAGCAAAAGTGCGGAAAGGGATATGTCGGAAGGGGTGGGCTCTGTCCTGGAGGGGGGGGTGTAAAAGCGCGAGACGTCGGTGTGGGGGGGGAGGGGAAGTGGGGGGGAGTCTATCGGAGAAAGGGAGAGCAAGTGTGTCGGAGAAGGGAGGGGGGGGTGGAGAGGACGGGGGTGGGTTTGTGGAAGCGGGGGTTTGTCGGGGAGGGGGGGGAAGAGATTTGTAGGAGAGAGGAAGAGATTTGTCAAAAAGCAGAGGGAGAGTCTGATGCTGCTGCTGCTGCTTGTGCTGTGCTCTTCTAGGGGGGGGTCTGTCGGAGAAAGGGGGGGTCGTTGGAGAGAAGGGTGGGGTCTGTCGGAGAAGGAAATCTCAGTCAGAGAGGGGAGGGGGAGGATCTGTTCGGAGAGGGAAGGGGATCTGTCGGAGAGGGGTGGGGTATGTCCTGGAAGGGGGGGGGGTTGGGGGGGGGGGCTGTCGGAGGGGGGGTGGTCAGAGGAGAAGATTCCTCTCGGAGAGAGGGAAGTGAGTGTGTGTGGGAGGCGGGGGTGCTTGTGCGTTCAGTGCATTCCGTTGGAATTCGTGCCCCCCCTCTCCAGAGCGAAGCCTGAGCGAGCTCAAGCCCACGCTCTCACAAACTCACACGCCGGATCGGCGGATTCTCCGCCGCCGAGGGCGCAAC